GGGCCTTGTGCTCCTCCCCTGTTTTTTTTTTTTTTTTTTTTTTTTTTTTTTAGTACCAGGGATTGAACTCTGGTCCTTTTGCTTGTAAGGGAGGCAGCAGCAGCAACACTGAGCTAAATCACCTGCCCTCTTATTTTATATTAATCATCTTTTTCACTAATACCCAGGGAGAGTTGTTAATAAAATATTTGAGGAAAAATACATGAGAACAAAAAGTAAGTGTAAGAGAATATACTCTAGGCAGGATTTTAAAGATAAAGACAAAAATCAATCAGGAACTGTAGTTAAAATTTATAGGAAAAACTATCACCCTTAAAATTTATTTGCATGTTATTTTACTTACTTATCCATTTTGGCTTTCATATTAACAAGACTTCCATTGTATTACATACGTTTAAAAAAGCAGCTGTTACAGCCAAGGCTTTCCTCCCTTGAGATCCAATTAACTTATATATTGTTTTAAAAAAAATGTAGCAATTTTTGGATCATGTCACTACAAATATACTGTATTAGTGTTTAATGATACATTTTAATGTTATATTATTTATAAATATGGGCTAATACTAAGTAGCCACTGTGCTATTCTAAGAACATCTTTAATCATTGTGTATCTCTGTAATAAAAACTAAGTTCTTTTGTAAACATTCCTCTTGGAAGAGAAACAGCTTGCAATCTCTCCATGTATTTTATACCTGGGCTAATGTGGCAATCTGTGGCTGGGCTTGAACTGTCATTTGTTGATTTTCAGCTTCTGTTACAGCTGCATCTCCACTCTGCTGGTTCTCTGCTCCAGATTCCATGGTCATTTAGTTACCTACAATAATATGGAAGAGTGTTACAAGCACTACAGTGCTTTGTACTTTTTGTGAAGTTAAAGGCAAATTTTAAGTTAGAAATAGGTATATGTGGTGGTCAGGTTAGCAAATGCACTTACATTTCTTAAAATATAATGTAGCTAAATTATTAGCAAACTTGTCCAAATTTGCTCTGCTATAAAAGTTCTTGTCCCTTCAAAAATCTTTTTCTTTTAGCTGTTTCTTCTGAATGGAAATATTACTCCATATATGAGAAATAATTCCTCTCTCCCATGAATCTCTCCCTACTAACAAAGAGAGGAGGGGTGGCAACAAAAACTATAATGAGAGAAAACTGTACCAATCAGGTACCGAAAGAGTAGAAAGCAGAAGAAAGCTAATGTCCTCAGTCTATGAGATGTTGGTTTCATGATATAAGGTTCTTTTCCTATGAGAGGGAAGAAGCAGAAAAACTGTAAGCTACTTCCACAGATCACTAGTGGTAGGACAAAATCAGCCCAAGTTCTAAGAGCCCAAGTTCCAGAAAATCAAGGTAGAAAGGTGAAATAAAGGACCTCAGAGCCCCCAAATACTGAAAAAGTCATGATGTCTCTCATCCATGTACAGTGTGCATCATTACACTACATACAAATAAACATACAGAGAAACAAAATACTTTAAAAATGTTTCACTGCAAAATTGTAGGTAAGTCAAAATTGATCTTTGTTAATTTTTGATTCATGTGTTGCTAAGAGCATAGTCCTTCTGCTGGGTCATCTGATACTGTATGGCAGCAGTAACAGTTCCTACTTACATGGAGGTTAGAGAAATTTCTAATTGGGGAAGCAATCCTATCCAAAAGATTTAGGAAGGAAGAGGATATTTCTAGTGTACCACTGTTTCTCAGTGTCTAGTATATTATCTACAGAATGAATTTATTATGAGGGACTACCTATTAGTCATTCCATAAATAACACAAAAGCCCCAATACTTTTCCATAATACTTGTTTATTTGATAACTGAAAGTGATAATCGAAAGTTACTGATTTTTATGTGATCATTATAGATCATCCCAATGTATTACATACATCTTAGTTATCTATCTCATCCATAAGGGTTCTATAAAGTGTTTTGCAAGTAACAGTTAAAAACAGAAATGAACACATCTTGGAGGAAATGAATATCACTTGAAATATCAAGAGTCCAGCAACCACAGACTTATTAACTACATCAGTATTTAAAACATCCATAAAGCCTCCAGGATCAGTACAGGGGAAAATGTGCCAGAAATAATCACAGTAATACCCCAAATACAAAACAACTACTAGTCAGTAAGAAAACTTCATCATGACTAAGTTCACAATGACAAAGTTCAAGCATATTTACTGTAGAATTTTACCATGTTAAAAAACTGGAAACAAGAATCATAATTAGGAGGGCCATTAAAGAAATCACAGCATTACAAAGGAACAAAATCTGTATGACATACTGTAAAACAAAACTCCATTTATGTTTTTTTAAAAAATCAAAGAAATGAAACACATTATTGTAAGTTGTGTGTGCACTAAATTTTGAGTGGCAGTTCTGAGGAGTAGGGATTATAGAAGATATATTCTTTACATGTTATAAGTATTTCAATATTGGTTGAGGGTCTTTCCCCCACTTCCTGTGAACATGGATTTAAGATTACTTGTACAATTACAAAACAAAACAAAACCCTTAATACCAGAAGTTATATACAATGTTTTAAAACAATGAACCAAAGCTATACTTCAATTATGATTTTGAGACGCCCACTGACATTTTATTTGAATTCCAGAAATTTTATGAAATTATTTTTGTTTAAACTCTACATTTCCAAATAATAAAAAAAATTTAATTATCAAATAAATTAGGTTATCATCTGTGATATTTTACTTATAATCAGGTATACTTACAATCTGTGCTTTTTTGGAGAGAGTACCAGGGATCAAACTCAGTACCTTGTGCTTGCCAGGTGGGCACTCTCCCACAAGCTACATCCCTGGCCTTACTATGTGTTTTAAACAAAATTTTTTAGGGCCAAGGATTTAGCTCAATGGTGCCACCACCTGCTTTGCAAAGACCTGAGTTTGATCTCTGGTACCAAAAAATAAAAAATAAACAAAAAAAACCCAAAACAAACAAAAAACAATTAACTATAACAAAACAAAATACTTATTTTCAGTAACACTAAAATGAATTCATTCAGGACCATATTGAGACATTAAACAAAATTTTTTCCAGAGAAAATTTTAATTAGAATGAAAATACATGTTTATTATCACACTTTCTCTTTTGTACATGGAATAATCCAATCATTAAGACTTTATTCCAAAATGAACTTTTTATGTTATGTTCTCATCCATGGAGTTTTACTTTACCATTTGATTAGAAGCAATCTAAGGCACAGATTGATCACATTGCTTCTGTTTCTATTCTCAACACACTGAGACTACTGAACTTTTTAAAATTTAAGGCACAAGACTTTTTAAAAACTTTCTGCTCAGAAATATAAAAAACTTATAATACAGGAACACCACAAGCTAATATAAATCATTAAAGCTACAAAGACACTCAAAACAAAAATAGGATTTTTATCCTTTTTTGCTCCCTAATTGGATCATATTCATTCTTTTCAAACTGTGTGGCATTCCAGGCATGGTAGCACATACCTGTAATCCCAGTACTTTTCTAGATTAAGTCAGGAGGATCACAGGTTTGAGTCCCCCCGCTGGATAACTTAGTAACTTAGGAAGAATTAGTCTCAAAATAAAGGACCAGGACATAACTCAGTGTGAAGGTTCTGTGTTTAATCCATAGTACCGCAAAAAGAAAAAGGTGTGGCATTTCCACTTCCCAAGGATAGGAGCTCCCAATTAAACTGCTAGTATTTTATCACTTCATTTAGGTGGCCTATCAATTATTTTTCACGTTAGAGGATACCTTTAATTTCTGTAACGCTTAGCTTGAGAAGCTACAAACCACTTGGGCAATAGTCTGTAGTCTCTCACTGGAAATTCAGATCTCTCTGAAAGTGCTGATGAGAATTACTTAAGGAAGAACCATTGTTTCAGATAAACTCTTGGACTCAAAAGAGACACTCTTGGTTCTCACCTTGACATTTTTCTCACAATTGGACTAAAATCACATTTAAAGTGGGTGCACTAATGCAGAGCTTTGAAAGCTTTTGGCCTTTTTTGTTTATATCCTCAGGTGTGAGATGTGTAAAAGTTCAGTTTTTCCCTTAACCTTCAGTTATGGGGCTAGCTGGCAGGGCTGTATCCAGACACAGGATCAGCTAGTAGGGCTAATACATGGGTTTCTAAAGATTCCTTATTCACTAAACAACGGCAAACATTTTGGAAATGCTGGAAAAAAACTGAATGCATTAAAAAAAAAAGAATATCATGTACATATGAACTCAGAATGCTGAAAGAATATTGTGCCTGCGGGCATGGTGGCTCACATATGTAATCCCAGCCCTCTGGAGGCTGAGGCAGGAGGATCGCTGTTGATTTCGAGGCCAGCCTGGGCTACATTGTGAGTTCCAGGTCAGTCTCAACTACATAGTGAGACCCTGTCTCTAAACACAAAACAAAACAAAACAAAAAAAAAAAACCAAACTGTGCTTGGAAGATTAGAAATCAAATGAATCTAAAAATCACTTACAGTACTAGCTTGAAAATTTTAGCTAGTTGTGGTGGCAAACACATGTAATCCCAGCATTCCCATGGTCAAAGCAGGAAAATTGCCACAAGTTCAAGGCCAGCCAGGGCTACACAGAGTTCAGGGCCACCCTGCTCTACAAAGCTAGTAAAGGAAGGGAAGGGGAGCAGAAGGGAGGAGAGGGGAGGGAGAGAGGGAGAGAGGGAAGAAGAGGGGAAGGAAGGAAGGAGAGAGAGAGGAGGGGAAGAGGAGGAGAGGGAAGGGAGGAGAAAAATTTCTTTCAATTCTAAATTGAAAAATTTGGAATTAATAGTTAAGAGTTGAAATTTCCATGATTTATTCTTTTTGTTTGTTTTAGGTTGAGATAGGTCTTGCTCCATAATTCAGGCTGGCCTTGAATTTACTATATAGTCCAGGCCAGCTATGAACTCATAGCAATCCTTCCCTCGCCTCCCAAGTGCTGGGATTAGAGGCATGTGTCACCACACCCGGCTTGTGATTTATTCCTAAAAATTGTCTGATCTTCTAGATATTGTGAATTTTTAGCAAATTTCAAATAGTTCCATACCTTAGAAAAGAAAAAAATACTCAAACCAATTCACACAGATATGTATCATTTTGCTTCAGAATTCTACCTCAATATGGAAAATAAAAAGTGGCATGAGTGTGTAATATTATTCACCTGATTTTGAAAAATAATGTTGCTGAAGGCAGCTGGGAAAGGAGCCTAACCCTTGGTGGTAGATGGAGTCTGTCACCAAGTGGCAGTGACAAAGAGGGTGTTGGACAAATTTTAAATATTTTCAGTTTTGTCACCTGCAGAATCAAGAAAGATGGATAAAAGTCTTTTTCCAGTTTTAATTCTTCCAATACTAGGAAATGAAATCACAAAGAGATGTATATATACACACACAATTACACAGGCTATACAATGTTTATGGAACAGTATTTAAAAATAAATGATGCAGATTTTCATCGTAAAGACAGATTCAGTAAAATAGACCACCTAGCCTCTTAGTTTTAGATAAGCTCATAGATACTGTTCACTTATACGAGAATGCAATAGACTTTTAATAGTTATTTCAAAGGCAAAACTGCCTCAAGTCTAGAAATCAGTGAAGAGTCTCTCACATGATCAACAGTCTCATGTCCATTACACTTTGCTCTGGTCATAGATATGTCAGAATCATTAAGTCATTCCTCTTCTCAATTTTCAAAGAGAATAAAAGTTTCTTTTACATTTTAGAAAGGTTTAAGAAACTTACCTGACAAGGTTTCCTAAAAGAAAGGGATGTATAACAGAAGGATAATATCAAACATTAAAAACCTTAGAAAATATTTTAAGTATAATTCCAGTG